TAGTGAGTGATATTGATGGAGGTGAGATGCCTGAATTAGAGGGCGTTAGTGATGGTGATGGAGTAGAGTAATCAATCGTAGGGAAAAGCACTTGGGGTGATGCGTGCCTTCAATACACAAATCAAAGTGGATGACGAGGAGCAACAATAGGAGAACATCTTTCATATTAGGTGCCATGTTAAAAACAAGGTATGTAATTTGATTATTGATGGGTAGTTGTACTAATATTGCTAGCACTATGCTTGTTGAGAAATTAGGATTGACTATGACAAAACATCCTAAGCCTTATAGATTGTAGTTGTTAGATGAATTTGGAGAGGTTAGGGTATGTAGGCAAGTCTTGGGGAATTTCTCGATTCGGAGGTATAGTGATGATGTGATATGTAATGTAGTTTCTATGCATGTTGGCAAAATTTTGTTGGGTAGGCCATGGTAGTATGATAGGAATCTGAAGTATGATGGATTCAAAAGTAGGTACAACTTTGTAAAAGATGGGAGACATGTTATTCTTGTACCCTTAGCACCACAATAGGTCTACGAGAACCAATTGAAATTGAACGAAAGAAAAGAAAAGCAAAGATAGATAAAGGAATAGTAGGAGAGAAGATAGTGAGGTGACCAATCGTGAAGAAAAAAGATCAGAGCCATAAGAGAGAAAAGAAAGAGAATCTTCTGAGAGGAGAGAAAACTCCAAAGTGAGATTCTATGCAAAATGAATGAGATTGAAAGTTCTCTAGTGAGGACTAACAAATCCTTCCCAAATTTAGATATTTCTTATTATAGGAATTAGAAGATGTATTCCCAGAGGACATGCCTTGTGGTTTACCACCCATTCGAGGTATTGAGCATTAACTTTTGGATGACACTATAGTATGTGGTAAGAATTTAGATGTGTATGATAAGTATTTGAGATATATTGTAATCCACATAATTACTTGTGGAAAATAGGATGGGATGTGTTAGGAAATAATTTGATAGTTACTACTACTTACTCATGTTTTGATATAGTTTATGGTTTTAATTCGCTAACTTTGTCGGTTTCAATTTCATTAAGTATTGGTATATGTGGTAGCTTAGGTGGGAAATAGAATATTGTTCTTGAAGCATCTCAAACTTGCGAAAAGGAGCGGTTGGGGTGTATTGTCTTTGATCCAGGAGATGGTGATTGTGTATACATACAAAAGAGGCGGATACAAATTCAAAGGAGATCCAAACTACACCCTAGAGGAGATGGACCCTTCCACGTCATTGCCATGATTGAGAACAGTGGCTACAACTTGGTCTACAAGGTAAGTATATTATAGCTCCCATCATTGACGTTTCTAATGTTACTTCATTTGATGAAGGTACAAATTCGAATCATTTCGAATATATATAATGTGATCCATGGAATGAAGGCAAGTTTGGGCAAATATCCATTGATCGTTGAAGAAGGGCCTATGACTAAGTCGCTAGCGAAGAGGGTCAAAGAAGCAATGAGATTATTCATTCAAGCTACAGTGGACGAAACATTGATC